TCCCAAGCCAGTTCTTAACCATCGCGCCACTCGGCCGGCCCTCACTGGAATTCTTACAACAACCAACAATAAAAACAAAAGCCTGGCTAAACTGCTGGAAAAGCAAACGACATGTCCCACATCCACCAAAAAGAGGACTGGTTCGGGGTTTACAGTTACATAAAAAGGAGGTGCTGCATTAAAAGCTCATTCTCGGGGCGGCAGGTTAGCTCAGGTGGTTAGAGCGCAGGCTCATAACATCAAGGTTGCCGGTTCAATTCCCACATGGGCCACTGAGCTGCACCCTCCACAACTAGATTGAAACAACTACTTGACTTGGAGCTGATGGATCCTGGAAATTATTCCCCAATTAAAAAAAAAAACCACCTCATTCTCTGCATTTTGGGGGACAGAAAAAAAAGACCTCACATATATCAGCCTTTAACTCTCTCCCTCATTGGAACGCTTGCATTTCTTAAATTCTTTTTAGGGTTTTTAAAAAACATTTGGTTTTTTTCTCACCAGTTAGTTCTTTAACAATCTTTACTTTGGTGAAACCATTTTTCAAAGCATATGCTAAAGTGCTTTGCTTGGAGAGAAGATGGGGAATTCTACATCTTTACAAAGGAACACAAAATGGAAAGGGGGACCACTTGGCCACCTACTTTTTTTTAAATGCAAATAATTTTATCCCAAATCATTTCTGAAGGACAGAACTAGTTCACAGATGTTCAAATGGGGTCAAGCTTCTGAGTCAAAATAAAGACTAGTTTCAGGACATCTTAGTTATTTCTGGGTGACCCTATGTGACATCACACTGTTCCATATAAAAAGAGGGGTGCCTTTCCTCACTGGCACATAGCACTATGCACAAAGGTGACCTGAACCACTCTTAACACTAGAAAAGTGCACTTCATCCTCCAAAGGGCATCAGGAAGAGAGATACGGGGGCCAGAGAACTTTCAAGGTTTTCTTGCTTTGCCAGGAAAGGAGTTGACTCCATCAGACACCATTGGGAGGGGAAAGGATGGGAGGGACGCCACCTAGGTCAGCTGAACACCCAAGTCCACCCAAGGCTGTTGGCATTGTCCTCCTGGGAGCACTCAGCCACAGGTGAGGGGGTGACAAAGGCTCCTTTGGACTGTTATGGACATCAGCCTTCTCAAGCCAGGCCCAGGCCAGGTCCTGCCAACGAGGAAGGTACAAGACAGCCCAGACCCCAGGGGTCCCGAACCTGAGGACAAGCAGTGGGAGGGCTGAGAGGGGCAAGCAAAGCCCAGCGAGGAGGGCTTCCCAGGGGAAAGGGCTGCCAGGCTACAACTTGAAAAGTCAGGAGGAGCCAGCAGGTGCATGGGGGCGTCGGCGGGGTTGACGGACGGGGAGAGCAGGCGGAGGGCGGAGAGAGCCAGGCTGGGCAAGGCTGCATGACTGAGGCTCGGGGGTCTGGAGGGGCGGGGGAGACTGGGGGAAAGGGTGAAAGCCAACGGAGAGAGAGACAACAAGGGCCTTCTAACCCACCAATAGGAGTCTGGGCTACTCTTA